GGGGGGGGGTTTATTCCTCCTCTTTCACACGAGTTCCCGCTGTGCAAAATGATGTGTAAAAATGTTGTCACGCCAAAGAAATCTGAATGCAAATTTCTAAGAATATGAGAGTGAAGGATTGTGGGATAAAACGGTGAAGTGGTTTGAATGTCTTTCTCAATTGGAGTTCTCCACCTCTCCGGATGTCTGTCCTGATTCCTCTCCCCCCCCCGTGTTGTCCCCTGCACTTTTTCCACCCGCCCTCGTCTCCTCTGCGATGGATGCAGGGTGCAACAGGAGGCCATTTGCCTTTATATCACATAATGTGCTCGCTGCTCTTATGACCGGGCAAACAGCATGGCGTCAACATGACACTTTGCAGACGCTGTCATCGCAGACCCTCATCCCAAGGCTCATTTCACATGAGACACGAGAGGGGCGGTATTCTAACATCTTCAATATCCCCTCACCATTTTCCTCCTTCTATATGTCCACCTGGAGTCCTTCTTATTTCATGACTTTCATCATCCCCAGAAACGTCAAAAGAGGCAAAGCTAAAATAAATTCAGGACACATTTCCTCCCAAAGTCTGAGGAACATTTTCTATCCCCCCTCTGCCTCATGTTTTGCATTTCAAAGAGCACTGGTGGTGGTTTTCCAAGTGTGTCCAATGAACTTTTTCTTGTGTTACTCGTCTTCATTAAGGATAATGTGACGGATCAGATCCTGCAGAATGCAGAGGTGCTGCTGAAGAAGCTGGGAACCAGGGACAATGTGAAGGTAATATATTCATATTTGTATGAATTACCATTTGTTCTGCTGTGTGAGTGCATCCAATCAGATGAAGGTTTGATGAGCTCTCAGGTTGAATTAAGCACCTAAACCTGCTCTACTTATGTGTCAGGATTGTTTTATATGAATAAATATAGCTGAAAAATAACAGCAACTGACAACCAAAAATTATATTTAGGCAGTGTTCAGTTTGTGTGTAAGTGGAATAAATGTCAGTTAATATCTCCGGCTTTTCCATCTCAAAGCAGAGTTTTGCTCCTCCCTAAAACACGCCGGTGTTTGAAGTCTTTTCAGAAGTGAGAATGCAGATGCATCGTCCCGTATCTGCTCACATTTCCTCACTCCCTCGTGCATTTAGCAGGCGTCTGCTGCTCTTTATCTTCAAAACATCAAATGACCTTTCACAAAGTACAGGATGAGGGAAAACCATAGGGAAAACACTTTGATGGAAACAATATCGATTTGTATGTGAGATACAGCAAGAGAGACAAAGAGTGTGTGTGTGTGTGTGTGTGTGTGTGTGTGTGTGTGTGTGTGTGTGTGATGTAAGGCTGACACTCTCCACTCTTAATTAGCTGCACTATCAGCGGGGAGTCCTCCCTCAAAGTCTTTCATCTTCTTCTTCTTCTTCTTCTTCCTCGCCTCACTCAGTGCCAAAATGTTTTTCCTCCGTCCCTGCAGCTGCACCACGTTGGGATTTAAGTCTCTGCGGCCCCTTCTCTTCTCTGAAATGAAACAGTAATGTTTGTCAGCTCTGTTGCTTATTCCTTCAGATCAGTGTGCTGCCCCCACTGATTTTGGAGGGACCCTTCGACCCCTCTCATCTCATAGTGGGCTTTTTTGTGCAGCAAGTGGATGGAAATTGACACGCATACAAATACAAAGGAAACTAGAAGACCTCCACCAAGGATCTGGTCGTTATGTTATCCTGCTACGGTGGCCCACAACATGTCCATCAGGAAAAATGCCCAGCAGCTTGAAAACGATGCAAATATAAAAACATAAATCTGACAAAACACATTGAATGAAGCAAATGAAGAAACACCGACGTGATTCCTTCCAGTATGATGGCAGATCTGCTGTCAGCTAGCTAGCTAATCTTTCAGAATGAATCATGTGAACACATTGTTCAAATAAGCCGATAACACTTTTTTTTATTTTTAGGTACTTTTCCAACAACAGTGACAGTTGGCTAACGTCTTCAAGCACGCCAGTCCCAGCTGTGTGCGGACACTTTTTAGTGTCCCCTGGTTTTTAGCTTTTTGCAGCATTTTGTTTTTGCAGCGTTTTGTTTATGCAGTGCTTTTAATGAACTCGTGCACATGTTTCGTCAAATAGGTGAATGTTTTGGCACATTTGTGTTTTTATATTTGCATTGTTTCTGAAGATGCAACAAATTTTTCCTGATGGAAATGTTTTTGGCCTCTGTAGCGCGGTTGCAATTCTCACCGTATGTTGCACAATGATGCAGAGGAACCTTGGGGGCAGCTTCAATTGAAATGGCAACTTGTCACTTGCAATGCTTTTTAGTGTTCTCAATGTGTGGAATAACTGACGCTTTTCTGTTATTATATGTTCTCTTTGCATGTTTCTGCAAAGAGCCCTTCACAACAGTTCATTGTAACCAGCAGACATAGGCTGTCCAGTATGTATTGTGTGCCTTTCTATGCTACTTCACTTTCTTGTTATTCAGTGAGAAAAACATCCATTTCAGATGGTTTAAAGGCAGCTTAAGTCCAGATGTCTTGGTAACCTTTCTGGAAATCGATGTTAAATCTCTCTCTCCTTTATGTATCCCGGCTGGATGAATGGCTGTAGTTGCCAGGAGACATGTTATAAAAAGCTCCTCTTTCCCTACAGGTGTGGTTCTACAACCAGGCGTGGCATGGCATGGCATCCTTCCTCAGCGTGGCCAACAACGCCATCCTGAGGGGCAACCTGCCTGCAGGAACGGACCCCCGCAGCTACGGCATCTCCGTGTCCAACCACCCCCTCAACCTCACCAAGGCGCAGCTGTCCTACGCGGTCATGTGAGTCTCACACTCCAGGGAAAGAATGGTTAAAGTCTGGGTTGATACTCATGTGGCTAATACAGATAGTGTATTTCAGCACTTAGACTATAACATTTAGCACTTTTTCCTCTTGCTGAGATACAGGATTTTAGATTTTCTGCAGGGATAAATCAGAGTAACAAAGATGAGTAACAACAGACAAATACAAAATAGACAGATGCATAGCTGACGGTATTGTTTTGCACAGTATGCACAGATGTGGATGCCCCTGGGAGCCCTTAAAGAGGAGGATATACACTTTTCCTATCATGTTTTATCCTAGGAAGCAGCTCCACAGGATAGTCAGGGATTAACGACGATGCTTGATCTCAACATATGGATCTATCTGCTCTGTACGCATTTCATTTTGCAGCATTATCTGTCACTCATCGTGCATTTAGTCTATTTTGAGGTGGTGATCAACACTTCCCATCCCAATGCGGTAAACTCCTGACTTTATAAAGGCAGTCCAGCAGATGCTTCCAATCAGGAACAGTTTTATTCCACCCTGGTCAGGTATTTATGCAGTGACCAGGTGCTGCCGACAGCCTGAGTTAGAGAGGGTGGGTGCAGCGATAATTACGACGGCCTGCCGACAGTAGATCCAGGAGCAGCCTCCTCTTCCTCTCTGATTTACCAACTCCACATTAGCCTGCACACCTCCTCGCTGTTTAATAAGTGTACAGGGCTCACACTCCTCCAGCAGAGGACTAAACAAGATGTAATCCACTTCAATATGTGTCATCGGAATAATAAAGCAGGGACCGCCTCTCGTATTGTTTTGTGATACACCTAACAACCACTTTGACATTTTTCTTTTGGTGAGAAACACGTCTATTTCCAGCACAGACGATGCCAACAATATGGTAGTTTAACACCAGCAGCTAAAGACCCATTGCTAAAGAAAATAGTATTAATAAGATAAGATAAACCCCTTTGGGAAATGCAGGTGTTTTAGCAGGTACATTCAGTGGTAAAACATCTGCAGCAGCCGGGTGCACACGTTGAAGTTTAGCTTATACGTTTTCTTTGTCACTAGTTCTTCGCCTCTTTTGTCAACCGATGCTGTTTCTCCGTGTGGATTTGGCACAGTTCACTTTACTCCAGTAGTTTTTGCTACTTGGGAATAGCTTCTGTACGGTATTTTGTTGAGTTGCCTGGTAGCAAAATGCTCTCTGTATTGCAGTGTATATTTATTGTATTGTGAAAGGGAAACGTATCTCGCGGGCGGACAGATTTTCGGAGTTATAGCAACGATTTTTAACCGAGCTTAACACTGATGGTGTCATTATTTTGCAGACATTACATGCTGCAATCAGCATTACTTCTTAACGATGTCTTTAAAGTAATCATCCCCAATAACAAAAAATCACATTTAAGGGAAAATCAGCCTTTTCAAAGAACTGATGTCCTCCTTAATTGAGCTTTGAGCGGTTATGAGACGGAGTCAATAAGTAATAATCGCACTGCAGCATTAGATTTGAAGAGACACTTTATTTTATTGCTCCTTGCAACCAATTCCAATGCAGGTGATGTCCTGAGCTATCGGATAGTGACGGTGTGCAGATGGAAGGAAAGGCAATATAACTGTTCCCTCACCCTCTGAAAATAATCTCTCATTTTCCTCTCTGCTCTTCAGAAATGTCAGTTTTTTGTCACAGTTTCATTACAGAGATACTCTGAATGTATTCGTTCCTAATTAGCTCAGGACTATCAATTTCTGCTCTGTTGAATTTTATATTTAATTTGATTTCTCATTGGTGTAAGCTACCTGCAAAAACATCCCGTTTAAAAATCGTATCCTGCTGAATTAATTGTAATATGCTTAATATGCATTGTCTCCGTAATACAATGACAAGAGCTTCATATTTGATAATTATCTGCTGCTCTCAGCCCTCCTACACTCGTCTTTTAAAGTTAAAGGGGAGCAATAGAGCCCCCCCCCCTTGCTCTTCTTTATCTCCTCCATTATTACTTAATTAGCAGATTGCTTGTCCTCTTTTCTTCACAGCAATTAGCCTGCTCCCAGCTTCCAGGGTTAGATATGGGCCACAGTCCCCCCCCCTCCCCACTAAATGATTTCATATTTATGTCTTCTAATTGCGTCTGCTTGGCGCTGATAAATACAGCCACACAGGGTGACTTACTTAATATGCTAATTACACAGCAGGGAGTCATGTGAGGGTGATGGTGGGGGTTAAAAGAAGACGCCACAGTGATAATTATTAGAAGGCACAAATGAAGATATATGACGGGGGCAGGGGGAGTTCAGCGTCCCCTGAAGAGGGAGAGACGATTTGTTTCTAACATGAAAAGAGGAGAGGGCTATCTACAAGATTTAGAAATCTTGTCTTCACCTGTTGACCTTGCAAAATGCTTTTTTTAAATGCTTTTTTCTTACACACAAACATTGTCTATAATAGCCATCAGTACTCAGACACGCCTGAAACATTAGCAATGTAGGAAATATTATAGGTTAAATCTTCATAAAGTAATAAGGTTAATTACCTTCCAGGAAATGCCCCCCATGCCTGAAACGCCTCCTTTGGACTCCTTTGTTTACTTCCGGAACATAGTGACAGCTATAAGGAGCACTTGCGCTCCCATTGGCTTGCGCTCCAACACATTGTATGTAATAGGCTAGGGGGCAGGGAATCTTTACGTGGTTGACGGAGGGTGAAAGAAGGTAGTATGAGAAAAATAAAGATCATTTTGAGCCTTAAAGAAAGAAAATATGTCACAGATGAGGCACATCCTACTTATCTGAAGCTGAAAATGAGCAGAATATTTCCCCTTTAATCACTTTCAATGGAGGCATAACAACACTTTGATTTATATGAAGTTGCGTTGGTGTTGGGATCAGGGGGTCACAGGTTCAAACCCCACTGCAGTCAGCATGTCGTTGTGTCCCTGGGCAAGACACTTCACCCCAGATTGCTCCTGTGTCCACAGTATTGAGTATGTAAGTCGCTTTGGATAAAAGTGTCTAACATGTAACGTAATGTTGTGTTAAAGTTCTGTATTTCCTAAAGATATCTCCTCCTGATAAAGAGCACCTCAAAGTAGCGAGGTGACATACCGTAATTTTCGGACTATAAGCCGCGCCTATTTCCCTATTTTTCGACGCTGCGGTTTAACGGTGCGGCTAATCTATGGATTTTTACAGCTAACGGCCAACACCTTTAACTCTATGGGCTCTATGGCCGGTCCGCGGACCCCCACCTTTAAGCGGCGGGTTCCAGCAGGAAAAGCTGGAGGCCGGAAAAGAGTGAGACAGGTAGCGCGCAAAAGTAAAAGTGGAACCGAGAGTGGTATGCCGCTGCTGCGGCTTATATTCAGGTGCGGCTTATAGTTCGAAAATTAGGGTACTTTATATTATATAAATGCAGTAAAAACCATATGATAATGTACCTGTGCTGTAATAAGAGCACTAACAATAAGTCAATGCACATTCAAATAATTGCTAGATTCTTTGATAAAGTTGAGGTGGTTGTTTTCAGCCTCTAAAGAGGTGTATCGCTTCATTGTGTTTAATATCCTATTAAAGTGAATATCTTTGGGTAAAGATTATTAAAATAACCTTAACCTTGGACTTTGAGAATATAATTGTATTGAAATCGTTTCCTTTGTGTTTTTTTCACATCCAAAAATATATTTTCAGAGCGGAATTCACCATCTTTGTCCAAATCTTTACAGAAATGAGGTTCATGGACAGAGCTTTACTTCCTCTTCTCTTCTTCTACACACTTACATCCCTCTATCTACCTCTTGTTTGCTGTTCTCCTTCTCTATCAGGGCCACGACTTCCACCGACGTGTTGGTGTCCATCTGCGTTATCTTCGCCATGTCCTTCATCCCGGCCAGCTTCGTCCTCTTCCTCATCCAGGAGAGGGTGAACAAAGCCAAACATCTGCAGTTTGTCAGCGGAGTCAACCCCGCCGTGTACTGGCTGGCCAACTTCGCCTGGGACATGGTGAGGACGAGGACACTTTTTTATGAAGCAATTTAAACCTAAATAGTGCATACTATCTAAAGCTAAAGTGTACATATACAATGCAAAGTGAAATTTGTTTAATAATGGAATTTGTCCTCCTTAATGTTACAAATTGTGTTTCAAGGGGATACTGTACAAATGTATGTGTAATGCTGTTATCCTGAAACACCTGTGCAAGTTTGTCTGCAATAATCAGTTTCTACCTTATTTAAAATGTCTTTATAAACTTTATTATAACTTTATATAACTTAAAAAGAGTATTCTGATACGAACAAACAAGAAAAATCCCTCCAAAGCTCTCATTAATGCTGTGGCCTATTTACATGCTGAATAAAATCTAGGTAAATTATGATATAATGATAATTTGCCTCATAAACACTCAAGTTCCAGAGTCTATGGCCTCATTTCACCCCAGTGTTATATCTACTGTAGCCTCCCTCAGTCTGTATGTAAAGAGCCCTCAGTCTGTAATTGATAACGCCGCTCTGACACCGGGGGCTTCTGGGAAATGTGAACGGAGCAGCGCTTATTGGGCGTAATTATAGACAGCGCTGCCCCTGCCGGTTACCCTGTGCAGGCTCACTGGCAGCTCCCCTCGGGCGTAATGGAAGTAAACACCTCTGGAGAAGAAATGGCATCATCATTATGGAGGAAGGATAAATAACGTCTGAGGGAGAGACAAATGTTCCCCAGAGCCAACCTGTAGCCCGCAGCGCTCTGCATTGACACACACGCAGATAAATAAATAAACATGCTTCATTATATCCTATTCTCATCATTTATTCACCAGTGGAAAACACAGGGTTTGTTTGAAGCAGCCAGAGGGCATATTGAAAAAAATGTTTTTCTTTGCTGAAAATGATTGTTCAGAACAAGCGACCTCTCGTCCCGAGAGCAGAGGATGTGTCTGATATTCACTGACTTCGTTATGCAATTCTGTATAAATATGAAAAGCAAACACCTGTTCTCTGCGCCTGACGGGATATTTTCTTCTTTGCTTGTTTTTATTATTTTTCCCCGACAGTGTAACTACATCGTCCCGTGCTTGATAGTGATCGTGATCTTCCTCTGCTTCCAACAAAAAGCCTACGTTTCCCCCCCCAACCTTCCTGCTCTGATTCTGCTGCTCCTATTGTATGGGTAAGTACATGGCCATGCAGCCTGGAACATTAGCCCTGCACATAGATCATCAAAGTATCCTCACTATTTACCAACAACTGATATTTACAAAAGAGAGGAGGGATACCTGCCGGCTGTGATTGGTTGTTCGGTGTCACATGACAGGCGGTCAAGTTAGCAAGTTAAATAGGCGAGGATTGACGTTAGCCGTGCACAAAATGTATCATCTTCTCATCCAAGTCAATCTGATATGTATGCGAGATAAACCCCACTAACCCATAGAGTTAAATGTGATTCGTGTTTTTTGTGCCATTTATGACGTTGACTGATATTGTAGCTAACTCCGGTGTGTTGTGTCTTGCAGGTGGTCCATCACCCCCATGATGTACCCCGCCTCCTTCTTCTTCAGCGTGCCCAGCACAGCGTACGTGGTGCTGACCTGCATCAACCTCTTTATCGGGATCAACGGCAGCCTCGCCACCTTCATCATGGAGCTCTTTAATGACGATGTAAGCTGCACACACACACACACACACACACACACACACACACACACACACACACACACACACACACACACACACACACACACACACACACACACACACACTAAAATACACAGTCTCTGGGTAAAACATGCATGAATTCCCTGTTCTATCCCAGTTTCCTGTGAAGCAGTGGGGGTTAGACTCTTAATAAAAAATGTATTTGGAAGCTATAGCAGTAATTGACTTGAATGAAAGATAAACAAGTTTTGAAAGCACGTGGGAGGAGTGTGCACCCACCTTCTCTAACTTTTAATATATTTTCCTTTATCCTCAAGGATTTTTCAAAGGAGTTATTTTCCCTATTCTCTTTAATGTTTAATCGTTTGGTGGGAGTTCGGTCTTCGGAGAACTTTCCCTCATCCATCTTTCAGCGAGCGTTCATTTGAACTGCTTCAGTCTCCAGGGATAACAGGACAAAGACACAAAAAGAAATCTGCATGAGAAATGGAGAGCCTGTCAGTCATTTTACTTTTGATTAGAATTTAAGTAACATTTCATAAAAATAAGTCTTCTCCTTCTAAACAGGTGCTTATACTTTATTGCTATTTTCCTGATTTGAAAACATGCCATTTTCTTCCGATCACTCCTTGTCTGCAGACTCATTGTCACTCACTCACATCGCTGTACATCAGAAAGAGGATTGTCCTCCTGCCGCACCCACCCTCCAGTCCGCCTCCATGTTTTCCTCTGGCGCCGCTCGCTGTGCTCGGGCTGCTTCCTGTCTCCTAACGATGCTCCTCGTTAGCATCCTGATTCCATTTCCACAAACATTCATTACCAATTTGTATTTTCTCTCCTCTGCTTTCACTTTATTTATCTGTGAGAGGAGCATATTACTCATAATTTAATGGACGGCATGTGGCTCGGAGACACATTTACGGCTTTCTACTCTTGTCCGAAGCATTAGGGACAGAGATAGTGCTTCTCTCAGACTCTCGGGGACAGAGGTCTGCTGTAATTCTGATAATCTGACTTGATTTCACCGCTGATAGAGGTCCACATCCATCAGAAAATACTCAAGCTCCAGACTGAAGCGAGGTTTCCCCTGAAGAAGCTTGATCCCTGTGAGGCATCAATCCCAGCATGCTTTGCAGCAGCAGAGGTGTGGCTTCCTATATACAGAAGTGGAGGAAGTCCTATGGTTTTACAAAATGATACATTGAAGCCTGATACAGGATAAATAATGTCAACTTAATGACAGGTCTCTCAATGTGTTGATACTCACTCAGTGTGTGACCTGGGGCTGTTTAGATAAACACAAAGCTGATATCCGGATATCCATACGTCACCACAACTTCTCCGGCCATCACTTCACTCTGCTGTCTTACATTAACATGGTCATTATTACGCTACCTACTGCCAATGGAAAAGTCTTTAATTACTTAGCCAGCAGCTGCATTGCAGGAACAGACACTCAGCAACCGGACGATTTCTCACAGCACACTTGACAATCTCTCATGGCAAAAATCACTGGTATAGAGAAGTTTAAGGAAGCATGAAATGGAAATAGTCAAGGACCTCTGGAGTACACTACTTTAGTAAATGTAGTGCCAATATAAAGTCCAGCATCCTGTGTTAGCAGAATGTTTAAAGGGGACACATTGTGCTCATTGATGTAAAACATGGATATGATCAGCAGGAAGTGGTGTGTGTTAGCCGTACATGGAGTGTGTGATCCGCAGCATTATGAATGAAGCTGAGCTGTGGGAATAAGCTCAAGTGGCGATGTGGGTCAGATAAGCAACTCGCAGCCTCCGCCATCTTCAAAAGCATTTGAAAATGATTTATGGGAGCGGAGCACAAATGTAAGGAGGACAATTGTGCAGTGTTTCATCATCCCCGACTAAGAGGCTCTTAGATCTGCGTGATGAACACCCAGTCAGAGGACGAGTGTTATTTCACGTATTCATCTCAAATTAGATCCCACTCTTTGCACTGTGTTCCGACACACACACCCAGACAAGTTCAGCACTGTCTGTTGGTCTTTATCGCTGCGAGATCAGTGTTGAAGGTACACAACAGAGGAGCCTTCAACATATCCAAAGACCTGAGTGTATCTATTTGAATATGCGTTGCACATCGGCTCAAAACCACAGGATAAAAATATGCCTGGCATAACATGCAAACAGTAGGTACAGTTAGCCATTGTCATATCTAGGTATACATTCCCTCTGCTAGATGAAAGGTTGTTTTCATATTTAAATAGAAATCCAGCTAGCTCACTGTAATGCAACAATCGGGTTCAAGAAATACACATTTAAATGAATGTTGCTAAATGCACCTCAGGTTCCTCTTAGCATTATCTATTATCCGGATTAACACATTACTGTTAAATACTGTTTTATTTATTTGTTCTGCCTACTTTTGTGTGTAAATACAGGCAACTATCAGAAAGTTACTTATACAGAATATGTAACTTGTTAATTAGTGAACTGTGCAGGATGATGGATTTTAAATATGTTTCATGTATGTGTCTTTATGCTAAGCTAAGCAGCTTTTTCCTCTGGCTTCATGGTTTAAGTTATTTCAATCGTCTCATCTGACACTTTTCTATAAAATAAGCACTTCTTTCACAATGTTAAACCGATCACTTGACAAGCAGACGGATATCTAGTGAAAAAATATCTTTTAAATGTGTCATTACGATTGTTTTTAATGCTTCATGCTCCACTGAAAGCTGCAGAAATCACAGATTCACGCATCATAAATAAATCCTGCCACAACAACAGAAGTATATGTGGAAATTTGAACACAGCTTTAAAGAAAAAGAATGCCTCTTCTTCTGTGCTCGACTTGCCCAAAAACAGAAATGATGAATTTACTCTTCCTCCATGTTTGCAGCAGCTTTGAAGACGATGCTGCAATGAAGCAGTTTGCATAATGCATGAAGCTGCTTTTCGGCGTCATGCCGCGCCAAACCAAGTTATATTTTGTCTTCTGCATTTCCCTTCTTCCCTGATATTCTGTACTTCCTTTTCTGAGCAGATTTATAGCCCAGAACATTTGATTCATTATATATTTTGTGCTTTACTGGGCTGCCATTGCATCTGGTCCTCAGGGGGGGAGGAAAGATCAAAATGTGGGGAGTCGGGAAACGTCCTGCTGAGATAAGATTTTTTACAACAACATGCTCCAGCTTTGTGTTTTTGTGTATCTGTGTGGTTGTTCCCAACACACACACACACACACACACACACACACACACACACACACACACACACACACACACACACACACACACACACACACACATCTGTAGGTGTCTCCTTCATCTCCTTGCTAACATCTGCTCACCCTCCTCACTGATCACGTTAACATGAACCAAACTCCAGCAAAGCAAGGTGGATGGACTCCTGAGCTGTGCGTCCTCAGTGCAGTTGAAGTGCAGCATGTTTAATTACCCACGCTGCACCACGCCTTCACGCCGCTGGCTCAACACATTGTTCGTGATGATTCCCAGCCCCTGTGAATATTTAAAGCTCATACCTGCATCTAATCTGTGTCTTGTTGTGTGTTTTCCCCCTATCAGAATGTGTCCCGCATCAACGACATCGTGAAGCAGGTGCTGCTCATCTTCCCTCACTTCTGTCTGGGGAGGGGGCTCATCGACATGGCCAAGAACCAGGCCATGGCCACGCTCTTCAGCAACTTCGGTGAGAGAAACCATCAACAAAACAATAATTCTACATGCGTGAGCCTAAACATGCACTTATCCATGTGGTCCTTCATGAAGAGATATGCAATTTGATCAAAAAGGACCAGAAACTCTGTGTATGTAAAGAAAAAATGCTATTCTTTGCCTCAGTGTTTACTTGCTAACCGTCAAAGGATCCAAAAGCATTGCTGTGTTTCTTTCTTCTTACTGTACATCAGCATAATAGTGTGTAAACATTGTCAGAAGAGCCCATCATATGATCGGGTGCATGCAGGGGAACCAACACAATTATGACATTGAAACACACCAATTGGCCACAGACTAAACAAATTACGTAATAAATGAGACCAACCCTCTTTATTATAAAGTTTCTATTGTATCTGTTACTTCCCTTCTCTTGCTGCTAAGTCCTCACATGGTGTCTAAATAACGTCCACAGTTTACCCTCAATATAAAAAGTAGTAAAAGCATTCTCCTCTCACCGGTATATTAAAACATGTATTTATAACCTCCATTTACATTAAAGTGACACTATTATTCTTATTTAAGATGCCAAACACCAACAGGAGACATATTTGCGTGGTGACTCCTCCTGTGGGGCTTCATGCGTGAGGAGAGGGGCCATCGAGAGGCAAAGTGGCCGATGAAAGAGGAAGAGGAGGCTGATGTGTGGAGGGATGGAGCAGGAAATAGTGGCTTGAGGAATGATTTTTTTCAGTGGTGTTGGAGAGCAGGAAGAGAAAAGCAATCACGTCTGAAAGGCTGATGTGTGGAGAGGGCTATTTACCGGAGAATGAGAGTGAAAGCGCTTTTCCCGTCGACTTACTCTGCCCCTCGGGCTCCAGGGTGGAGAGTCTGAGAGGGAGGACAATGATTAGAGCTGAGACGTGAAAATTACAGGATATCAGTGAGCTCCTCACATCACATAGGTGACAGCTCTTCTTTATATTTTATTTTTAAGGCTAAGTGGCATTTTAAACTGCTGGCTTTCATTGGTGAAAATGTCTCGAGAACACTTCAAAGAGCTGACACATTCACAACTTTTCACTGAGACGTCTCTGGCTGCTTATGAAAGGCAACACGCGTCTGGAAGTGGCAATGTCTCTGCTGAAACACTCTTGAGTGTGCAGATGAGGGCTGGATTTGAAATGGAAATGACACACAGCGCTAATGCTTTTCATTATTCACATGTGTTTGTTTTTTCAGGGGAGGACCGTTTCCAGGACCCGCTGAGTTGGGACATGGTGGGGAAGAATCTGTGCGCCATGTCCATCCAGGGAGCCGTCATGTTCACCGTCACCATCCTCATCCAGTACAAGTTCTTCTGCAAGCCCCGGTAAACAAATATGTCCACAGTCAAGAACTCAAAACTTTTATAAAAAAGAAAAATAGGTTTATAACTGTTTGAAATCTTGTTTCCAAGAGTTTCAGATCAGAATGTCAGACCAGTCAGCTCCCTTTGGACTTTGAGACACTGGGATGGACTTTCGTCAATATGTTCTCAAATTTTATACAAATGTAAAATAGAAAAGAATCTCCAAATGATTGCTAAATGAAAATAATCGTTATTTGCGTCAGTATTTGTTTCAGTCAGATGAACCTTCCCCCTCTATTTTCCACATTAGTCATGTACTATTCATTTATTTTGTGTAAAATATCAGTTTGTCAAATACTCCCCATTTATTTATTTTTCTGTTTACTTGCTCTAAAAGCAAGGTTGCTATGGAAACTGTGGCTGGTCCTGTTTATGAAAAATGGTTGAGATAGTTTCACTGAGTTTAATCTTTAACCGGGATAATTTGTGCGATGGTTCATGTTCATTTGAATGATGGGGTGTTCAGTAAACCACGCTGACTCCTTCTTCCCCTCTCGGTGACAGGCTGGTTTCAGGGAAGTCTTTATCAGGGGAGGAGAAGGAGGACGTCGACGTGGCGCGGGAACGAGAGCGTGTGCACGGAGGCGGAGCGCAGAGCGACCTGCTGAGGATCTGTGACCTCACCAAGGTAAACTGCTGCGTCATTTGAAAAAGAGTCTTCCACTCTTTGTCATCAGAGGTGGATACATTGCTTTATTTTTCTTCAGGACGGTGACCTCTGTATGCATATCCTTAACGTCCTTCACCAATAACTCTTTCTAAATGTCCTTTCTTGCAATCATTTCCCCTCTGCTCAGGCCTTATTTATTCTGTATAAGCTTTTTTTTGTATATTGTTTTGTGTGTGTGGGCAGCTGGAGTTTCTCCCTGTTGCACATGCATTATTCAGTTCAGATGTGGTGCAGCTGGGAACCTTCACAACCATCAGCAGTGAGCGTGAGAACAAACAGAGTGCATTCTGGGAGATTAGAGGTCTCTGCTCCTCTTGTAGCAGGTGAAGCTGCAGACATTACTGTAGTGCTTCCTCTGTGGGCAGATGTTGCTTCTCGTGGGCAGCAGCTGGATGATCTTCTCGCCTCTTTCTTCATTCCTCTTCTTCTCCTCACTGACTGTAATTTATAAAGTGGTGTAAACTTCCCTTCACCTCCACAGCTGTAGAGATATTGGATTAGCTTTGAGGCTGCTTCACACACATCTTACGTTTTCTTTTCCTAAGATGCGACACACACACACACACACACACACACACATCAGGATTCCTCACCCCACAGCTGTGGCCCATCCATTTGGGTGGAGATAGCAGATTGATCAATGGGCGCGCTACTGACATAAATCTGAGCATGGCTCTGGAGCGATCGACAGGCCATCAATCATGTGTCATCGTCCCGCTCCTCCTCTTCCTCTCCCTGCAGCCGCTCACCTCTTAGCCGCTGAATTAGCGAGCGCTGTGTAATCGATGGAGGCGGTGATGGGAGTGTGTCCGTCTGCAGGGCCCGGGGCTGTCACTTTAACCTTCCCGTCACTCACTCACTCACACACACAGGAAGTTTTACAGAAGCTCTGACAGCCGTTTGACTTCAGACTAATGAGGGAAGAGTTGCACTTCATCTCAAAGTGTAGTAAATCAAAATGTATTCAATCTTAAATGTCTTGCATGTCAAAATAAAAAAGCAAATAGAAAATTAAAGCAAGTTATAATATAAAAAGATTGGTATAAAAAACAAAAAGTCAAGTGCAAAAGAAACACATAACAAAAATGACTTTTATATACTTTTTTTTAAATCAGACGTCAAAATGCAAACAGCATGCCTATTAAAAATAGTTCATATAGAATAAAACAGGTATAAATTACAAAATAAAATAATTGAAGCAACAGCACATTGTATGATATAAATGGTTTGGGCAAAAGAAAATATGAAAACAATGCGAGTAAACATAGACACTTTAATTATCACTTTGTACCGCATTAACATATATTATTACTCAAACCACTTTTGCACAATTACCGTTGTTAAATGCCGTGAAATGCTGGAACATGTGGCTGAGTTTCTTCACCTCGTACTGCTGAGTCATGAGTGCAAAGGATGGTCCGTGCATAGGTGGCGCCTTGAGAGATAAAGCCGAGTCACTGTTTGCTACCTGAGCATTTGAAGCCGAGTGTAAACCTCTCAGCCGTCTGCTGTGATGATATGCTGATGTGACAGCTGCTGTGCGCTGCAGACTGAGGGGAGTTATCCTTTAATTGCCTCCTCCGTGCTGCTCTGATTTGGCTTTAGCGCGCCACACTGCCACTAAGAGCAGTTTGTGTGATCCAGGTTGATGCCAGATGGCTCTGGCAGAGACATGGATCTCTGCTTTGATGTTCCCACTGTGGAAATAAATGCTGTGTCATTGTTTGTCAGGCTGCAGCAGCACTCTAAGATTCACATTTCCCTGGAAGCAATGCGGCTTTTTCCACTGAGCAACATGTGCTGTCACTTTTTTTGGTTTGACGAACATTCAGTGACTCACAGCACGCGTTTGCACCTGTCGGCCACCGTAGGGACATCATGCTTTCTATCTTATGTCCTCCATGTTTATTAACACTGGGGACATTAGATGAACGTACAATGTGTGCTTCTTATTGAAGGTATTGTAGTGCCGACAGCTCTCCTCATGCTAATGTTCACTTCCTGTGCAATAGGCTCGTTTTTTTTTACAACCGTTTCCCATCTGGCTTCCTCTAAATGTTGCAAATGATCTCTTCTTGTTAATGTCTCCGCCATCACTTTCTCTGCCTCCCTGCTTCTCTTCCCACCTGCTCCTTCCTCCCGTCATATTTCCTCCTCCTCCTCCTCCTCCTCCTCCTCCTCCCGTTCTCTCTCTGGCTGGTTGATTCATTTCATCTCCTCCTCCCTGCAGGTGTATTCTCGGAGGAGCTCTCCCGCTGTGGATCGGCTCTGTGTGGGAGTACCTGCTGCAGAGGTAAGCCAAATGCTGTGGGAGGACACACACACACATATATACATTCTCCAGCTCACACACTGTTTGACCATGTTACAACACTCTATGTAAAATTCCAGAGCGTTCGGAAAAACTATTCCATTCTCTTTGTCTGTGAAATAAAATGCAGATATTAATTGACTAAACAAACAAACCAAATGAATATTAATGATAACATTTACACAATATTGACAGACGAGAGCAGAGGTTCTCTTTGATTACAGTTTGCAGTTATTCCACTAATATTTAAATGTTGGCCTTTGCCTTTTCCTGAGTGGATTCAAAGTCTCTCCCAGAGCCTGCAGAGAGGAGGCGTTAGCAGCAACACTGATCCCCTTATCACCTCCTTCTCTGACACTGTGCTGCAGAGTCTGAGATGCTCAGAAATATGCCAATTACCACTGAGAAACGACATCAGCCAAATACGGCAAAGTCAACTTTTACTAAACATTAACTTAGGAACTGAAGTCAGGAGGAGTCTGATATAAATCATTCTTCTCCTGTGTTTATGACTTTGGTTGAAAGCAGGTTATAACTAAATGTGTTGCTGGTGAAAAAATGTCTTGTAATGTTGTTGTAATAATCATCACAGCCACAAGAGGCACTAAAGCACTTCCTCATAGTCTTTCAACACTATTTTTCATTCCTTTATCCACTCTAATTCTATAGAACACACTACACTTTTGTTAATGTCGCAGAACTCTTTGAGATGTATATATATTTTTAAACAATTTTCCCCTTGTTTCAAAATGTATTTTTTTCACGTGCAAAACGTTTTACTTTATCTAATTAAAAAAAAGTAAGAGACTTGAAAAGTGTACAGTTTTCTCACTTGCATCTCACGGCATCGTGTTAAACAACATGTGTGTAAATGGATGGCCTGTCAGTGTGAAGCCTCCTCTCTCATTATAAGATATCTTACCCCACACACTGGACCTGGGTCTTGATGTAAACACGGTGTGAGATGCTGACAGCGGTCGTGCTCTCGGTCTCTGCGCTGGGATCCGTCCTGCCGGCCTCTGTGTGCTCAGCGTCAGTGTAAACCAAACGTAAATGCCAGAGGAAGATTGGGATTCACTGATCACACACCGCATTCTGCTGCATGCATTATTTACATCAAGACCAGCCCTCTGCAAAGCATGCACAAGCACAGGTCACAAATAAGCAGGGATCAGTGAGTGACAGGAATCAAGTATTCATGAGGAGGGGTCACATGATGCCGAGAGGAAGTAAAATCATCCTCAGTTGAGTTTGTAGAGAAGAAGCGCTGTAGGTCCCTGTGTGGCTGCTTTGTTGATTCAGTGTGTGTTGTTGTATTTGTTATTTCTGCTAAACACAGACCCAGTCATGCATACAAACCGTAGTTTCAATTATACTGCACGCTGGGAACAAACATGTACACTGGATAAACTTCATTATCGGGGTTTTGAAAGGAAGGAAAACATCATATTTGAAATGTCACACGGCATTAGCGCCTGCTGAGTTTCTAACGGAGGCCTTCCCGTTTCTCCGGCAGTGTTTCGGCTTGCTGGGAATCAACGGGGCCGGGAAGACCACCACCTTCAAGATGCTGACGGGAGACATCCCCGTCTCCGGAGGGGAGGCTTTCCTAAACGGGTACAGGTGAGGATGAGTCCCTAAGAGCGGAGAAACTCCTCATGATTAGCCACCCAACATGGAGAAGGAGCTCAGCTGTTTTCAGCTCGCACTCAGCTTTCTATTCCTCCCTCAGGTTGAGTTTTTGTCTGCCCACTTTTCAACTGTGCTCCTCTCATGTTGTCTCCTCGCTGTGATATTCTCTGTTCCTCACATATTTCATTCCTTTTCACATCCTCGCACTGCACTGTGCTGTTTTTGTCTCTGCCTTACCGAATCAGTCAGAGGAAACGTCTGTACATGCCAAAAAGAAACTCCTGAGCTTTTGAGGAAAAGCTGGCTTTCTCTCCTTTATTTTTAGGAACAAACCTCCTCCACACTCTGCGCGCTGCAGCGGTGGGTTGTGGTCGCTAACGCTTCATTTGTTCATTTCTACATGCGGTTATTGAGTGAGGTCTAACACAGAACTGCTAATGTTTATAAATGTGAGGATCAGAGAGGAATCCCAGAAGCCTTCAGAGGAAACAACACCTGAAAAGAGTTCTGTCCTGCTCTGTATGCAGCGCGTTGTGTGTTCTGTGTATTGGAAGAGGAGTTATGGGCAGCAGAGAAGAAGAGGAGGTACATCTGCAGCTCTGTTATAATGCTTCAGAAACAGAAGCTAGTGTGCTAACAGCAGCAGCGACTCGTTGTAGAAAAAAACGATTTTAAAACGACTTAAATAGGCATGAACACATTTACAACAAAAACAAGGAATAGGTCAGTTTGTGGAAGATGCCCGTTGTCTTCCATTGTCAGAGAAGAAGATGCATGTGTCATGTCCACACGTTAAATATGAAGAAGGCTCGGTACCAGAACAAACCCCAATTATCTGCGATTATTGATTCTTGATAAATCCCATTTCAGCCGAGGAAGAGTCCCTGCTCTGCTTGTACCGCTGCCGGCATGTTGAGCACATTTCACATGCTATCAATGTTAGGCAAACAAATACTTCTGTGGGCTGATTCTTCTTAATATAAGCCAAGTTAGATGTCATAACACAAGTAGAGATGGCGGTTTTCTGCGGCTTAGTTCAAATCACATTCAGCTCTCAGACTCAATATCTCTCCTGGAAATTACCATTTTGGGAACATAAATATGTCTAACTTTAACAGAAAGTAAGTCAGCGCTAACATTTGCCTGCAGTGCATTATTGCAGGATGTGGAAAGGTGCATGTCTGTACAAAGACATATTAGGCTCTTGTAGGTTAAAGATGACAAGGTGGTCTCCTCTCATCACAGACACAATGTGTATGTTACTGAGGACGAGCATTGAGATGTCCTCCATCATGAACACCTCATCCAAATCACTATTATGCTTTATTTCTCAAAGCGTCTCTTCAGATCCCAGATGCTAACTGAAATAAGCCGATTCTGTAAACCCCTGCACAGGCACTCTATGATCCTAACCTGCTGTTATTTTACTTTCCTCTAGATCAGTGGTTCTCAACTGGTCAGGCCTCGGGACCCACTTTTTACTTGGTCAATACATCGCGACCCAACATTTTGAAGCACTCAAATCTATTCAACAAAAAAACGTGCTGTAATATATACGCTTTTCAGCATACAATATTAATACAAGTGAAGTACAGTGCATATATCCCTTCACAGAACTAAAGTATGCTTTTAAAAAAGGTTTAATGAGATGATGGAATCAAAGCTGAACTATATAAAAAGGCACACGTGCTGATAACCCAACCCCAGCAGGGGGGTCTGGGGGGATTCTCCCCCAGGAGATTTTTAGAAATACTAACATCAACTATGCATTCTGGTACACTCCGAGAAGAAAATAAATAAATCTATTACTACCCGACATATTAATAATATTGTATGCCATTGTTTGTTTTTCACTTTGTTCTGACATCTTGCAGAAGAGTGAAGAGGAGATAGTCTGTGTGACTTACTTTAAATTGTGGGTAAGGGTGATAGCTCCCATTGTTCTGTGACCTGTCAATCATCAAACCGGGGGTCATATTTCATTATGTGTTCATTTTTATCTGAAGTTGTACCCATGGATGTATAAAGAAGAGTTCTACCGCAAAGTTATTCTCCGTGGGGACTTCCGGCAACAATC